GAAGTTCTTTTGGGGCCTGTCATATGATCTTTTTGTAAATAATTCATGAACATTTGAACAGAAGTTTTATTCTCCCATTATATGCGTTAACATATGTCTGGTAAGTACATTATTATTTATAGTACATACATAACTCAATATGATTTTTCCCTATTTGATTGATCAGAGTCTAAGACATGAGTTAAAATCTACAAATACTGTTTTCTTTATCATTTTCTCCTTTTGAGTCTCTTGACTCATGTCTTTTTTAAATGACCATTTTAGTCCACTTAGTGGTTTTTGTTAAAATTCTACTTTGATGCTTTTACATTAGTTTTGCAACAACACTTTTTCGTTTATTTGCATTTCCTTATTATGTCTTTGTTCAACTTGTTATTTTTAAGGTTACTGAGTCATTCTGTGTTAGGTGTTTATCTTATAGCATACAATTAGATTTTATTTATTTGAATTGGTTTATTTTCTCTCTTTTAACCCATTTACCTTTGTTGTCACAATAGAATTTTTTTTTTTTTACTTTTGACATTTTTATTACATAGTTTTAAGGCTTCCATGCTATTTTTTAAGTGTATTTGCTGTGTATGTTCTATTTATTTATTTATTTTGTTGTTGTTGAGACTATACACAGCAAAACATACACCAATTCTATGGTTTCTACATGTACAAGTCAGTGACAATGATGACATTCTTCGAGTTGTACAACCATTCTCACCCTCCTTTCTGAGTTGTTCCTGCCCTATTAACATAAACTCGCTGCCCCCTAAGTTTCTTATCTAATCTTTCAAGTTACTGTTGTCAATTTGATATCATACAGATAGATCTTAAAAGGGCATAGTGCTCAAGGTAGACATTGTTTACTAGTTAATCTAAACTATTGTTTGGTTTTAAGAAGACTTCAGGGGATATTTTTGGTTTAAGATTTAAAGATTACCTCAGGGCAATAGTTTCAGGGGTTCATCCAGCCTCTATGAGGCTGGAGTCCATGAGAATTTGAAGTTCTGTTCTGCATTTTCCCCCTTCTGATCAGGATCCTTCCGTAGAATCTTTGATCAAAATGTTCAGTAATGGTAGGTAGGCACTATCCTGTTCTTGCAGTCTCATGGCAAAGGAGGCAGTTATTCATGGAGGCAATTAACCATGCATTCCGTATCCTCTTCCTCTTCCTGACTTGGTTCTTCCTCTGTTGCTCTAGGTGAGTAGAGACCAGTTGTTTTGCCTTGAAAGACCACCTGCAAGCTTTTAAGTCCCCAGACACTACACAACAAGCTAGGAGGTAGAACAGAGGCAGCAAATACATTATGAGGCCGGTTAACTCGGATGTCCCATGAATCCACCACCCTAAACTGCCAAACCCAGGAACCAAATCCCATGAGGTGGTTTTTGGTTGCACATAAGCAGCCTCAGCAGCTACTTTTTTTTCCTTCTTTTTCATTGTTGTAAATTCATCTGTCACACAACTTTTGCCAATTCAACTTTTTACAGGTGTACCCCTTATTGACAGCAATAGCAATAATCAGCTGTGCAATCCTACCCTTAATCAACGTGATTTTTCCATTACCATTAATCTCCCCTTTCCCCCTCCCTCCTGCCCCTAGTAACCACTAATAAAGTTTGGTCTCTGTACATTTGCCTTTTCTTGTCTTTTTATGTAAGTGAGGTCATAGAGTATTTGTCCTTTTGTGATTGACTTATTTCACTTAGCATAATGTCTTCAAGCTCTACCCATATTGTAGCATGTATTGAGACTTCATTTTTCCTACTGACTTTTTTATTTTTTCTTCTATGAACTTTGCTTTTGGTTACCTTTGTATTATTAAAAAAAATAAGTAGACATGTGATTCTTTATAGAAAGACCTTCTGTTGTCTTTCCCTTCTGCAGCATGAGGCAAGGATCACACTTTTCTTTCTGCAAGCTCTACCCCTACCTCCTGCATAATTTCGTACATTGAGTCTCACTAAAGGACTCTGCTGTCTTAGTCAGCCACTCTTCCAGAGTGGTTCTCATGCTTTTGCTAGCTGCTGTATGTTTGGTGTGACCCCTCACCTCAGGTCTCTTTATATAATTTCCCCAGGCAGCCACGTCCTGTCTCAGTGATAGGTCTTACCACCCCAGGAAGCTTCCTCTCACTGCCCTCACTATCATCACCATGGGTTCCCTGATCACTTGTTAGAGCTGCTGGAGCCCCACGCCTGATTGAGACCATTTCCCTCTGAGTCCACTGACCTGGAGTGACCCAAAGATTCCACCTGGAGGTTTTCCTGTTGGTGTCATCACCTACCTTACATTCCATCCACAATAAGAGGGTTTCCACTGGCTTGAACGTAGAGGAGGAACTGAGGGTAAAAGACAGGAAGGAGAGGGTCCGTTTTGGAGGATGTTAAAGTGGTAGAAGGTCCCTGGGTGGTGCAAATGATTTGTGCTTGACTACTAACCAAAAAGTTGTTAGTTCAAATCCACCCAGTGGTGCCACTGAGGAAAGACCTGGCAATCTACTTCTGTAAGATGATATCCATTGAAAAACTCATGGAGCACAGTTCTACTCTGAAACATATGGGGTTACCATGAGTCAAGTCGACTTGACAGCAGAAGGTAAGGTGGTAGAGGCAAAAAATGATGAAGGTTTGAACCAGACCTGTGACATTGATATCCAGCTGACTTGGGTTTACAAAAATGGCCCCTTTGTATGGTTCAGCATAATAGCAAAGATGGAAAGATATAGAAGGATTTGAGAAATGCTAACAAGAAAAAATGAAAAAGAAAATGAATGTGGGGGGTCAGGGAGAAGGACGAGCTTAGGCAGATGCCCAGATTCCCATCTTGAGTGACTGGGTGTGTCACGCCCAGGTCCCTGTTTAAGGAGTATGGGAGAGGCAGTAAGGGAGAGGTTTTGATAGGGAAAACGCTCAGATCTGTTGCATATAGATTGAGTTTGAGGTAACTATGTGACATCTAGGTGGAAATACAGAGCTGTGAGCAGCATGAGTAGACTGATGTTCCGGTGAAAGGTCTAGGGTGCAGAGCTGGACTTAGAGGTTCTCAGTGAATAGATAGCCATTGAAGGAAGATAAGTAGAGAAGGCTCCCATTTGAAGAGCAGGTATAGGAGAACTGTTCACAAAGAAACCTAAGGTAGAATAGTCCCAGACTTATGAGAGAAACCCCGAGAGTGAAGTGTCACAAAGGACACCCAGAAATGAAGAAGCAGTGAACATTGACAATTGTAGAAGAGTGGCCCAGTACTAATGATAAGTGTAACTGTTCTAAGCATGTATATTAACTCTTTTCATCTACAAAATGACCCAATGAGGTAGACGCTGTAATTACCCTGGTTTTAAAGATGAGGAAACTGAGGTACAGAGCAGTAAGGTAACTTGCCAAGGTCACACACTAGAAAGTGACACATTCAGGGCTAGAAGCCAGGCCTTCTCATTCCAGAGCCAAACATTACACTATCTTCCTTCTTAAAGTATGACAAAGATCGAGAAATATGTATTGGATTTAGCAATTAGGACATTATTGGTGTCGGCCATGAAAGCAATTTCAAGGGGAGTGTTGAGGACAGTATCCAGATTATAGCAGATTGAAGTTTATAGTGGGAAGTAAGAGAGTGTTGAGAGCGAGTGTAGATAAAACTATGGAGAATTTTAAAATGTGATGGAAACAACTGGACTGTATTAGAGAAGAACCTGCTGCCAAAGGGTAATTTGTAAATAGGAGAAGCCCAAGCATTTACATATGTCAAGGTCAGGGATAAAAGGATGGAGATAGAGGGGAGAGGGAAGGAGGACCAAGAAGAAGCAAAGAAGCTGGAAAATACGGCAGGAGTATGGGTCAAGAGCAGAGATGTGCCTTGTAGAGAGTAGGCAGGGGTGGGTGTGGATGTAGATTGGATTGATGGGTAGGAAGTTAGAGCTCAGCCCTTCTCTTGTCTTGCCTCTTGAAAATGTGGGAGACAAAGAGTCTGGGAGTGGAGGGGTGGATGTTGAAAGGGCACATTTGTGTGGGATGAAAGAATGGGAAATACAGATTTGTGATGGGATTGGAAAAGTTGAGATAAGGGTGTGAAGAAATTGAGGCTGTAGATGAGAGTGGTACTGTTGATTAACCAATATGGTGGGTAGAGCCTGGGCTTACTGAGACTACAGAGAGGTCCAGGAAGGCGTATAGACTCTAGAAAAGCAGAGGCCCAGGGTACCCTGTGCAGTTGAGAAGCAGGTTTAAGAGGAATGAGTTGGGAAAGGACTGTGGGGTAAGAGGCTGTGCCAAAATACACAAAGATGGAATTTTGAGTTTATGCAGTGGGGAGGAACAAGTTAGGGAGTGTGGCTGATTAGGGGAGAAGGCCGTTGACATTAGGGAGGCCAAGGATGTTGTCCATGTTGTCCACATCTGTCTCCTAGGTGAAGGTAGAGGTTGGGTAAAAGGAAAGCCTTCAACTTAATTGTAAAACCTTTATTGAAACAAGCAGTATGAGTGGGAGTCAGAGTAGAGATTTCAAAGAACTTGTTGCTTTCTGATTCCTGGAAACCAACAGGTAAGCATGTGGCTTATTTTCACGAGGTATTATTAAGAAATTCCAATGTAATGTGTTCCTTGGGGATGTAGAATCAAATTAGTATAAACCCTCCCAGTAAGCGTCTCCCTCACTCTTTATAAAAAAGTTGGGATATTAGGAAGTAACTCTTTGTGCTTCACTTGAAACCACGATGAGAAATGTACAGACTGGGGTCTGTAGGCCAGGTTGGGTTGCTTCTTCTGTATCCAAGCGTTATGTCTGAAATTGATTACGTTCCATGTGACTGAATTTTCTTTTGATAGTCAGCAGAGTTTGACTATTTTACCTTGTTTTGAAAACCCAAGCCAATTGCCAGGGTAACGTCCTGTCTCTTTGATTGGTTCTGATGGAAAACTGACATAGAAAGGTTTTGGGGATGGGCCGGCCGCTCCTATGATGAATGTCTATAACCACTTCTGTGAAATTGACTCCACGCTGTGTGTTGCAGGTGATATTTGAATCCGTGTCTTTGAAGGGTCATCCTGGCTACATCGCAGTGGACGAGGTCCGGGTCCTGGCTCATCCATGCAGTAAGTCTGTTTCCTCTTCCCATCACAGCCTCGCTCTGTGCCAGACTGGGGAGCTCCGAGGCTGCAATCCACCCTGTTCACTCAGCTCACAAACATCTCTCTCTCTCTTTTAATCCTTCAAAAATGCTTACATACTCAATGCAATCAGTCCTGAATAAATGCATAATTTTGCCAGCCCGTTCAACAGGCAGCACCTACAGGAATTTGCAGAGAGTGGCAAAACATCTTCATTCGCATCTCTCTCCATTATTAAGAGAGTCTAAAGTCCTGATTGTTTATTAGCGGGATTCAGACCACTGAAGTGGAAGAATTAGAGGGCTTTGGGTAGAATCTTGTGCGATTGTCTTAAAAAAAGAACAACACCAAAACACTGAGCAAATTAGCACACTGTTCACTCACAGAGAAAAGTACCCCAAAGCTATTAATTCTTTAAAAATAATTTAAAATACACTCATCCGCTCCGTGTAGGCATAGGGAGAGATTCCTCATACTGGTTAGCACTTATAGTGCAGTGTCAAGAGTCCTCAAATGCATGCCACACCTCCATGCCCATCTGGTTTCCCCTTGAAGTTCTCTCTCTGCTGTATTTGGTCTAGGATGCCACAGTGTGTTTCAGTAGGGAGCTGTGCATCTTGGGTTCATTGTATCTCAGAGGAGATATGTCTCCGGTGCAGGTAGTTGATACTGATACTGATGACATGGGGAGGGGGAGGTGGTAATCTAAGGGACACGCATGGGAATTATGGTAACGCCTAGGAGGGCTAACTGAGATGCCAGCCCAAGTTTGTTAGCATTCTCCACATTGGAGATTCTCATTGGCTTCTTTGTAACTGTCTTGTTCTAGGTTATCCCTAGGTATCCCTGTTATTGTTGTGTGCTATTGAGTTGATTCCAACTCACAGTGACCCTACAGGACAGAGGAGAGCTGCCCTATAGGGTTTCCTAGGCTATAATCTATATGAGACCAGATTGCCAGATCTTTTCTTCCGTGGAGTGGCTGGTGGGTTCGAACCACTGACCTTTTGGTTAGCAGCCAAGTGCTTAACCATTGCACCACCAGGGCTCGCTAACCCTAAATAGCCATCAGTCGTGCTATGGGCTATATGTAGTTTTCTGCTGCCTTAAGAGACACCATGTGCCCTCTCCAATCCTTGTCTTTTATTTCTCCCATTTTGGGACTGTTCTCACTTTGGCCCTATCCATGCTGCTTTAATTGAAATGACTCTTTCCACTTTGCTGCAATGAATTTGTCAGGCCCTCAAGCATCATTTCCTTCCTTCCCCTGGACTAGAATACCATTGTCTGACTCATTGTCTTAGAGTACCTTCTCTGGGAGAATTGGGGACAAGTTTCCAGGGGTTTAAGCAAGACACTATTTTGGGTAACTGTATTCTATGGCTGTGCAAGAGAGACCCTTTCTCCCCAGAAATCAACCAGCATCTCAGGAATGAGTTCATCCTACTGGACTCTCCATTATTGTGGCTGTAGATTCCTACCCTCTGGGTTAGTTCCTGAGCCTTTAGGATGTTCCCACAGGTGTCTTTCCATTCCATCATGCCTGAGATATACCTCTGCTGTACCAGACCATGTGTAAAGAAGATCCCAGAAATCCCCCCAGCTGTGTAGGGTTATATAGTGGATATGCAGTTAAGTCCCCTCACAGGATTAAATTCTTCAACTCCTGAGAGTTAGTATCAGCCGCCCATTGGAGAATGATCTTTAGCCTAAGACTGGGCCAATATGTTGGGAGATGTGTACCCCACCTGTGGCCCTTTAAACCTCACATACTCAACCATGCAATCCTCGAGTTTGAGATAGTCTCTCTGAGAAAGGTCTTTGCCCTTCCCTGGGCCCTGCACATACCCCATCTCTACCTCATGGAGGGTGCTTACCTTTGGGGCATCCAGCTTCACTCCTGCTTCTTACCCTATGCTTGATGTTCAGACTTTGTCTTTCAAGTATGTGACCCTTGGCTTTACCCAGGAGATTCTGGAAGATTTCCAGGAGAACTTGGTGTGGAAGACTCCCTGGCTCCCAGAACTCTGCTCTAATGAAAATTTTCATCGCTACTATGATGCCTCACCTGCCTCTTGTCCCAGCCTCAGCTGCCTTTAAGAACAGATGGATAAAAGCTCTGCCTTAGCTCCAAGCACGTGGTTTGCAATCAGAGGCAAACGCTTCCTTCTCTCTGATAAATCTCCATGGGAGGAGGTTCTCTGGAGAGCGTTTGGATACCTTTACACCCCTAAAGTCTCTCAACTCCTTCTGTAATCCTCCTCTCATTGGGGCTGCTCCTGAATTTAGGATTCTCCCACAACCTCATACTCCTCCTGCTGAGGAATGTGGATTGCATGCTTATGGCATTGCTGAAAGACAATTACCCAGCAAATGGCCCGTAGGATATATTTCAGCAAGACGTGACCCTGGCTGTGTTCCTGTGCAACGTGCTTAGGCTAAGTTCAATCTCAGTGCTTAGGTGGCTTAAGCATAAACTTCCCAGACAGCACAGCGTGAGACCCCAGAGTTGGAAAAATTCCATTTATCTGTATGTACAGATACCGGCCATGTATATAGTCCTCAGAGGTACATACATAGCTCATGAGTCATGTGGGATTGAGCAGGGTCTAGCAAAGACCCCTTTCTGAAGACCTCTGCTCAGTCCATACCTAGCCCAGGTTTTTATTCATCATTTCCTTCAACAAGCGTTGAGTTGAGTACCAGCTATGTGTCAAGCACTATGTTGGGCACTGGGATATTTCAGTGACCAGGAAAGTTCAGGTCTTTATCCTCATGATGGCTAGCAGGAGGGGCAGAGAGAGGAAAGACACAAAATAAGTAATAAAATTTCATGGTGATGAAAGCTATGAATATAATAAATGTGAGAGAGGGAGAAAGTGACAGGGATATAGAGGGGCTACTTAGAGTAGTCAGGGGAGGTATCCTTGAAGATGTGACTTGAGCTGGGACTTGAGTCATAGCAAAGGGCTCATTATAGAAGGATTTGGGGAGGGTGGTATTTGAGGCAGAGGAAACAGCAAGTGCATAGGTCCGCAGTGGGAATCAGCTCAGTGCTTCCCGTGTGTCCTGAGCACAGGGAACCCAGGAGAAAGTGGTCTGAGTTATTGCTGGAGAGGTGAGCCAGGTCCTGACCGTGAGTGCCTTGGATGACATCGTAGGTGATTTAGATTGTAATCTAAGTGCAGGGAGGTGTCACTGGAGGGATTTCTGTTGGGGAACGAATGATATGATCTCATTTAAGGAGCCCTGGTGGCACAGTTGTTAAGCATTCAGTTGCTAACCAAAAGGTCAGCAGTTCGAATCCACCAGTCACTCCTTGGAAACCCCATGGGGCAATTCTACTCTGCCCTTTAGGGTTGCTATGAGTTGGAATCAACTTGATGACAACGGGTTTGGTTTTTTGGTGGCACAGTGGTTAAGCTCTCAGCTGCTAACCGAAAGGTTGGTGGTTTGAATTTATCCAGTGGCTCCTCAGAAGAAAGATCTGATTATCTGCTTCCATAAAGACTATAGCCTAGAAAAACCTATGGGGCACTTCTGCTCTGTCACATGGTGTCGCTCTGAGGCAAAACTCAATGGCACCCAACAACAACTACTATGATCTCATTTAATTGTTAGAAGATCGTTTTGGCTGCTCTATGGAGAAATAGTTGAAGCTGAATCGAGAAGAAGTCAGGAGACCTGTTAGGAAGGCAGCGCTGAAGTCCATGCATGAGATGGTGGTGGCCTGGACTAGGGCGGTGGAGAGAGATCCATCCACTCATTCATCAGCATGTCATCCATACTGGGCAATATTCTGGGTTTATGGGAGTAAGACGGATTCATTCTTGGCTCTCCTGGGGCACGCACTGAAGCGACAGAGACTGAAAATCAAACAAATAATCAGGTAGTTCTGTGCTATAATAACAGACAGTGAGCATGTGAAGAAATAGAACCTAGAGCTGGAGAGAGATGGACAGGTTCAAGATATATTTAGGCAGTAGAGCTGACTGGTCTTGTTTGATGAGTTAGATTGGGAGACAGGCATCAACGATGGTGCCCTCCCGGATTGCTGGCATCAGCAATTGGGTGGTGAGGGCTGGGGTGGTGTGAGTCTGGCAAAAACTAAGCCTGAGAGCCAACTTCTGAGGTGCTGACCATGGCCCTGGGGAGTGTCCATGGGCTCATGTGTCATGCAGGATGCTAGTGGCTTCTGAACTGTCCTTTGGACTGAAAGTGCTTTTTCCACACCCTAGCTTTAATGTGAATGTGTTTATGACTTCATTCACAGATCATTAAAAATGTAACTATATTGAGAAATATACATTCCCTTTCTGTCCTCGGGCTTTTTAATTCTCCACTTCTGTCCTCCAAAACAATTTTTCCATTAACACATGGTCAGAGTTTATCAATTAGTGATTCCACTAAATATTCCAAAAGTTCCAGGGGTATTCATGCCTGATTTGCACCTGTATCCTTGATCGATCTGAGCTGAAGTTATGACATTAAACGCTTGCCTCGCAGCTTCCAAAAAGAAGTGACTGAAAGACAGGCATAATACTCAAAGGGAATTGTTTTCTGTTACAAACCGAAACCTCTCATCTATATTTTAAAGCCCATTTAACATTTTTGTGTTATTCTAAAAGTATTTTAGCCAAAGTTACCCTCCGCTGCCGTTTCTCGGTATTGGCCATTAGCGGGGCCACGTCAGTTATAACTGTGCACGATAAATGTCAGCAGGCTTTTCTACTCCGTTTCAGAGTCTCCAGCTCCTCAGTTGACTTTTAGAATTTTTTAACCTTTTTTTTTCTCTCTCCATTGCAACCTCGTGCGGCCATGTCCTGGAGCCCACAGAGTGTCTGCAACACATTTCTAGTGTATGTCCTGTGCCTTCCCCTCCATTGTGTGGCCTCCTACTGAGCACTGTCAGGTTTAAAGAGCTAGAGAAAGGACACAGTAATACGGCTTCAGATGCTGCAGTGACATCTGCAGGCACTTAAATG